TTAAAATTTGCTATAGGAGGTGCAGTCACCAGAAACAGGAAAAGTGAGAAAGCAGGCCACTAGGTTTGGGATTCGAACTGTGAATAACCATATGGGAGTTCAGTGCCTTAATTACCACACCACCTGCCGGTCCCTTGACTATTCTTTTATTTATTTTTTGTTATTTTTATATTACATTTAATCACATATATCTTTACATTGTATATCATTTCTTTTTCCAACACAATTACTTGCATATCAGCCAAGAAAAAGACATTGCTATCCACATCATCATCAGCAAATAGCTTTTCTTTTTTTAAAAAAATTATTATTATCCTTGACTATTCTTAAGTACCTGATATATGAGTGAAAATGTAGTATTTTTCTTTTTGTGACTGGCTCACTAGGAATAAAAAATCTTAAAAGACTGGTTAGAATTAGAAGCAGAGAGTGCCACAGAGGTGACCTCTGGTCACCTTTTGTCCTGTCTTCCCTCTTAGTAGCTGTGGACATGACTATCTCATCTACGGGCCTCTGACAACAGTTCTCAAGCTTGTTTGCATGTGAGAATCACCTGAGGAACTTTGTGTTTTTTCTTCAGGGAGAATGTTTTTGCTATAGGGCACATGCGCTCATGGGACAGACAATAGAGATAGAGAGACAGAAAGTGAGATATCACCCTCCAGGAGGATGGCCACACCACAATCCCTTCTCCTCCATTCTCTTCTCAGGATTTGGGCATGCAACGCACATGTGCCCGGTGTGAGTTTTAAGCCAGCAGGTTCAGGACTCAAATCACGGTCAACTACGTGGGAGTCCAGCAATATATCCATTATGCCATCGGCTGGTTCCCCTGGGGGACTTTTGAAATGATTCTCACCTGGCCCTCACCCCAGATTGATTAAACCAGACTCTCAGGGAGAGGAGACTAATGCGGACTTGTGTGAAGCACCCTGGGCTTTTCCAACTTCAGCAGAGATTGTGATCCACTAGCTAGTTAAGAACCCAAAAAGAACCCAAAGGCAGAATAATAGTTGATAATTCAGAGTATCTTGGGTAGATGGACTTGAAGGTCTTTCAAATTCTAAAATTTTGCAAAATCAGCTAGCATCTCTGTAGTCGTCGACCAGCACTGTGAAACTGCTTCAGCTATACTAAGACGGAGCTGAGGGGTGCTGGCTGGATTGTGGTTCTCCGTGCACGCCAGTGCCGGTACAATGGCCCCCCTACCAAACCCTCTGACTAGTTCTAATGCCCCTCTGTAGGCGCTGGACATTGCAATCCCCCTTCAAGTTCATTCAACAAATAGTAAGACGGCTCACATTTTCTCTTAAAACATTCAAGCTATGAGATCTTTAATTGTACTTATTACATCAACTTTTTTTTAATAAAAGGAATTATTTTATTTAACTTACTTAATTTTTGTTTTGGGAGAGGTTTTTGCTATAGGGTGTGTGCGCTCACCAGAAAGACAGAGACAGAAAGCGAGAAATCACCCCCTGGGAGATGGCCATGCCACAATCCCTTCTCCTCCATTCTCTTCTTTTGATCTTGGACACATGCCCATGCACCTGGCGTGAATTTAAGCCACCAGGTCCGGGACTCGAACCATGGTCGACTACATGGGAATCCAGTAACATAGCCATTACGCCAACTGCTGATTCCCCTTATGTAGTTATTTTAATTTGACTAGAGACGGACAGAATGAGAGAGAGAAAATGAAAAAGGGAAAGTGAGAAAGCAAGCCACCAGTCCAGGACTCGAGAACTGGTCAGCCATGTGTGAGACCAAGTGCCCTTAAGCACCACGCCACCTGCTGCCCCTTATTACATCAACTTCTCCTGCTCTAAAGAGCGAGAGATTTCAAAATAATTTGAAGGCCAAGTGTGGGGTGTTACAGGGATATTGATCCCTGCTTTACCATAAGAAATACTTCTCTGGAACCAGAGTTGCTTTAGAACGAATTGCATTATGAAACAGTGACTCCCTTGGCCCTAGTGCTACACGAGTCATGGGTGGAATGCCATCTGTAATGGATACTATACAGTAAGATTCCTGAAGCAGAAGGAATTAGGATCGCCTATGCAGCTGTTCTAATTCCAAAATTCCATGACTTTGAAGCCAGACACTGAAATAATCATTTAAGATAGAAAAATGATTTCTGAGGTAAGAAATGAAGCTTCAGGGTTCTGATTTTTCAACTTTAAGCCATTCCCCCAGGACTTACATTCCTAAAAGTGAGAATATTTAAAAATGGGGGCCAGCAGGTGGTGTGGTGGTTGGGGTCCTGGACTACCTGTGGCCTGATCCGAGACACAGCGTCTTGAAATTCATACCAGGTGTGTGCATGCATGCCCAAAATCTCAAGAGGAGAATGGAGAAGGGATTGTGGTGTGCCCATCCCCCCTGGGAGGTGATTTCCTGGTTTTTGTCTCTCTGTCTCTCCAATGAGTGCACACATCCTACAACAAAAAAACTCTCAAAACTTAAAAAAAAAATAAATACAAGGGGACCTGTTTGTTTGCTTGTTTGTTTTTTGGAGCGGTTTTTGCTATAGGGCACATGCGCTTGCCAGACAGACAGAGACAGAGAGACAGAAAGCGAGAAATCACCCCCCAGGGGGGATGGTCACGCCGCAATCCCTTCTCCTCCATTCTCCTCTCGGGATCTTGAGCATGCACGCACACGCGCCTGGCGTGAGTTTTAAGCCACCGGGTCCAGGACTCGAACCGTAGTCGACTATGTGGGAGTCCAGCAACATAGCCATTATGCTAAGTGCTGGTCCCAAGGGGACCTGTTTTTTTTTTGTTGTTGTTTGTTTGTTTTTGAGAGGTTTTTGCTATAGGGCGCGTGCGCTCGCCAGACAGAGAGAGACATAGAGACAGAAAGAGAGAAATCACCCCCCAGGGGGGATGGTCACGCCGCAATCCCTTCTCCTCCATTCTCCTCTCGGGATCTTGAGCATGCACGCACACGCGCCTGGCGTGAGTTTTAAGCCACCGGGTCCGGGACGCGAACCGCGGTCGACTATGTGGGAGTCCAGCGACATAGCCATTACACTAACTGCTAGTTTCCCCAAGGGACCTGTTTTAAAGAAAGTCATTGTAGCACATAAAATTGGAATGTCTCAAGATTAATTAGAGAATTTTTAATTTATATTGTAAAAGAATTATTGACCTCATGAAATCGGTCTGGGATAAGGGCATCACTTTTTTAAAAATAATTTCTTTATTTAATTTTATTTGTTATTATTATTATTTTTAATTTGATCATGAGGCAGAGAAAGAGAGAGGAGCAGAAAGTGAGAAACTAAGCCGACAAGTCTGAGATTCGAACCGTGGTCTGCCATGTGGGAGTCCAGTACCTCAACCACCATGCCACCTGCTGGCCCCAGGGATAAGGGCATTACTTTGAGCATCTAAGTATTGATTTATACGTCAGTCATTTAGCTAAGGCGCTTGGGAAACTAAAAACCTTAAAACTTTGACCACTGTCCTTTCAAGTTCATTTGGAAATGAGAAGCATCTGAAATGCCAATAGGAAAACACAATGGGATTAATAAGTGTTTAGACACGCATTAGAAAACATAACACATGCCTATTTTTAAAGAGACTTTTTTGCTATAGGGCATGTGTGCTTGCTCAAGAGACAGAAACTGAGAAATCATCCCCCGGGGGGATGGTCATGCTACAATCTCTTCTCCAGTCCCCTCTCAGGATTTCAGGCACACATGCGCAGCACCCTGTGTGAGTTTCAAGCTGCCAGGTCCAGGACTCGAACTGTGGTTGGACATGTAGGAGTTCAGCGACGTAACTACTACACCATCTGCCGATCCCATATGTAAAATTTAATACAAAAATAACTGCAATTTCTTGAGTGCTGTAAAACATTGATCACTGTGGAAATGCCATTTCATTTAATCCTCACTTAAACCTTGTTAAGCAATGTATTATTATCTCAGGGTGGCCAGGTAATTTGTTCGCAAGCACAATAATTTGTTCAGACTTTGCACCTAAGTCTTATTCTTTCCTCTATACCCAGCTATCTCAATCCTCTGCTCTTAGAACAAAATTGCTAGTCCACAGAGTGAAATGTGGGCTAAGTCCTGCCCTCTAAATGTTTTCAATGTGGGTTAGGTGCCAGTGTCCAATAACGACTGCCTGTTGAAGTCTGGATGTCCTGGCTGGAGAAGAATCAGAGGGACTGGTGGCCCTGTCCCTGCAGTCAGTCCCACGTGGCCACACGGCTGGATGGGCCCACCTTGGTCATCAGGGCCCGAGGCCATCGGTTGTGCTGGTCCCCTCTGCTCCGCTGTGCCCTTCACAAGGAGGCTGAGTGTCATTGTGACCTCTCCTCTCATGTCCATCCCCCTTGCTTCTGGAATGACCCACCTGGCACTCTGGCTCTGTGTTTACACCGCCCAATTTAGACTCTCTCTTGCAGGTCTCTTGCCCCAGATTGGATCCCAAACACTCTGGTTCTGTGTGTTCCAAACCCACTTCTGCATCCTTCTCATTTCTCAGTGGAAATGGGGCCAAATGAGTATTCACCTTAAGATTTCTGCACAGAAATGATGTCATTTTCCTCACCCATCGGACTGTGCGCTTCTGCTCTTAATGGCCTGTCTTGTTTTTGTTTCTTCCCACTCTTGGGGCTGGATTTAGTGTTGCTGTGTTGGTGGGGAAGGCAGAAATGCCTCCAAGTACTTTATGAGGGTGACCTGTGACGTGACCTGCTGCACTACGACCGCTCAGCCAGCTGGGACCACCAGCCTAGGACAGTGGACTCGTGTGTCCTGGAGGAGCCCAGGAAGAGCCGGGTCAGCTGTGTTCCAGCATCCTGGTTTCAAGCAGAGCTCACAGGATCCCTGTGGCTTTCGTTCCAACCCGCCCTGGCGCCATACTTCCCCTTCTACCCCATGACAGAAAGACACCTGGCCAGACAGTATGATGCTGGAGGGCACTGGAGTGGCCCCGAGGGGCAGGGGAGGCTCTGGGGAGGGTAGCCGAAAGGCCGTGCACCTAGAAGCCACAGCTGCTTTCCACAAAGCGGCGGCACTTCATGACCCGCAGGTAGGTCTCGACCTTGTGCAGGTCCTTCTTGAAGCAGGAGAGCAGCCCATAGTTCTTGAGTAGTGAATCATCGCTGCGCAGGTTGGTGTCAAACTTGTCGTAGGTTTGCTTGAGGATCTGCCCAGTCCGGGGGGTGCCATCCTCCAGCTCCTGCAAAGGGAAGGGAAAGGAGAGACCAGGTTTTGGAGCGCTGCACCCTCCACTCCTGCCCACGTTTCTCCCTCCCTCTCAGGGAGAGGATTCCCAAGGAGAAATGAAGGTCAAGCCTGTCCTCGGAAAAGCAGTCTTAGTTTTCTGCCTACACCAGGGAAGCTGAGCTCTCCAGGGCTGGGTCGTGTGCCTCTCACCCGCATCAGGGCTTGAATGCCCTCCTCTAGATCCTTGAGCTTCTCATAGACGCGGTCTGAGGTGCCAAACACCAGGCTGTTGGTGAAGACTCTGCTGAGGAATTGCACGGGCCCGAGCCAGGACTGGATAAGCAGCAGCGAGAAGCGGAGCAGTTCCATGTCCTGCAGGGAAGAGCTGACCATGGCTGTGTGGCTGGGACCCTCCGCCAAGAGCCTCCCATGCCCTTCCAGCCTAGGGGGCAGGGGAGGAGTGCTTCTATAGAAAGACGGAGCTTTGGTCCTGAGCCAGTGGGGGTCACTCACGGATCTCTGCTGAGCCTCGTCCTTGCCTGTGGGGGCTGGGATGGTTTCTGAGAAGCAGAAGGCAGCCTGGGCAGCCTGGATGGAGTACCGTTGCCCCTCGGGGATGTAGGCACGCTCCTGGGGAAGGATGGCCGAGGTCTAAGTCCAGGCAGCTCTTGCCACGGCTGGACTGAGCACCCCTCCTCTGGCTGCGTCTCTATTTGTGCAATACAGCACTGAGCTCCGTAGTTTCCCCCAGTACTTCCCAGGGTTGGTGTGTGGGGAGGTCCCACTTCCATTCCCTCCCCCGCCCTCCCCCCCACTACCTCCCTGCACCAACTCCCCAGCGCTTACAAAGCCAGCAGCCAGGTGGTGCGGGACCCTACGGGGGAGGATGGGCAGGGGCAGGAGGGGCAGTGCCAGGACCAGCTCGCTCTGCCCCAGGGCCTTTCTCACCCTCCCACCCCTGCCCCTAACCCAGGGAGTGAGGGGAGTGAGAACATACCATCATGGCCAAACATCTGGCTGAAATAGCTCTGCCCACGTCAGAAACCCCCAGCCCAAGCGCTAGAGCCCTTCCCATCTGCGGGACTCCCACAGCACCATTAGAACACATTGTGCCCGGAAGGATTTTAGGGGTTCTTACCTGCAGCCATTGTAGCTGGGTGAGCTGTCTACAGGGCCCGGGGTGGTTGGGGAGCTGGGCCCAGGATCCTGCAGTTGGTTGCTGGTGGCCCCTTATTATACCCTGGCCCCCTCCCGCTCCATCTATTTTCTATACATTTATGCACGGGCTGCTGTGCTGATGGATAATTTAGACGCCGCTTTCCTGGGGTCAGTCTCTGTCCAACCGTAACCAGCCACGTGAGGGTTGTGTGCACAGGGTCTCAGCTAGAAAGATCACCCACTCCGTCCTCTTTCGGAGGAGAAGGTGGTAGAAGGGAGTACCCGAGTCCAGGTGTACAGAAGCGTGTCCTTGTCTGTCTGGGTGAAGAGGGTGCAACCTGGTCCCCAAAAGGGGGCAGTGTCAGGGGACTGCTCCTTGGGGGCTGGGCTGGCCCCTTCTCCTCTCTATCCTCCCTGTCCTCCTCCTTCCAAGGTTCTGTCCACTCATCAGTGAGAATATGTACTGGGGAAAGGCACCAAGGACAGCCCTTGAATTTCTGGGGTTCCTGGCCATGGTTCAGCCAGAATCCCCCATCCCTTTTGCTCTCTAATGTTGACCACTAGGGGGCACCAGCCACACACATTGCCCTCCCCTTTCCCTGGACTGGGGTCTCCCAGGCTCTCCCAGGCTCTCCCAGGCTCCTGAAGTAAATGACTGGAACTTGAAGTATTGCCCCTGCTCCTTGCACCTGACACAGGAATGCAGCTCGGGAAGAGGAGCTCACAGGACTGACATGAACCCCAGAGGCTTCCTCCCACTGCCTGAAACTGTGAGAGGGTTCTGAAATTGCAAAAGCCCTGGAGGGCTTGTCTCCTCCCCAGCAGTGGAAAGAACACAGGACATGGTGCTGGGTCCGGGACTTGAACAGCACAGTTGGCCGGGCTGTGTGGGGATCCAGCCACCCTAACCACCAGCCCACCAACTGGCCCTTTCTTTCCCTTTCTTTAATTGCAGAGGGTGTGTGCTCTTTCCAGAGAGAGACAGAGATAGAGAGGGAGAGGGAGAAAACACGTCTCAATGCGGCATGATCACGGTGCAATTCCTTCTCCTCCATTTCTCCACCCTGGGGGATTTCAGTCACACGAGCGCACACACATGCCTGGCATGACTTTTAAGCTGCTGAGGCCAGGATTCCAACCACAGTTGACCAGGTGGGATCTGCCTCCCTTGACCACTAGACCAAGGCTCGGGCCTTACCTGCGGACTTTCAACCATGGGTGAAGTCTCAGGTCTCCCTGAGGGTGAGGGCTGCAGGAGCCCCAGCTGGATACTGCTTGAGAGCCACATCAGGTGTGCACAGGTACGGTGGGGCTGAGGCGCCCGCCAGGCAGGTTACAGACAAGAACAGGTGGGACCGGCCTAGGGGGAGATTTCTTCCCACCACTTTCAGTTCTGTTGACCCCAGAAGTAAGTTGGCCCAGAGACACTTGAGACCCCCAAGGATACTCCTTCACAAAAAGGTTACCGTGGCAAGTGGTGGGCCCAGAGGGAAGAATTGAAGGGACTGTGTGTGATGTGGGAGTCAATGATCCTTTTCTCCCGTTCAGACCTTCCCAGGGTCTTCAGATGGACACTATGTTCAACATCCCTTGCTAGTAGAAGACAAGCTCTTAGACTCGTATTAGACATGGAATTTTCACTCTAGCCCTGGAAAGTTGCTCGCTCTTGGGTACCGCATGGGGCCTGATGCCTGGTTCCATCAGGTTCAGAGACTGCCCATGGCCACTATGTGGCCTGTGAGGAAGTCTTGGTAGTATCTCTGATGTCAGCCACAAAGGGCTTCAGAGGAATTCCCCAGTCACCTTAGTGATGTTAAGACACCTTCCTGTGACCAGTAGATGGTGTAATGGTTGCATCACTGGACTCCCATGTAGTCGTCCGTGGTTCAAGTCCCAGACCACAGGGTTAAACTCACACCGGGCGTGTGTGCGTGCATGCCCAAGATCCCGATAAGAGAATGTAGTAGGAGGGGTTGCAGCATGGCCATCCCTCCGGGGGTGGGGTGGGGTGGGGGTGAGTCCTCGCTTTTTGTCTCTGTCTGTGTTTATCTGGTGAGCACACACAACCTATAGCAAAAATCTTTTTTTAAAAAAGAACACCTTCCTTATAAATATGAATCCATGAATTCCTCTCAGTGAATTTGGAAGGCCTCCCTATTTTCATACTTGACCACTGAGGTTCTCTGAACCTATTGGGGAAGGTCACAGATTGCCCCTTGACCCCAAAGTGGCCTTTCCAGACTCCAAAAGCCCCTCTTAGGTTCAAGTTGAGGTTGCAAGTGATCTCATTTTTTTTTTTTTGAGACGTTTTCGCTACAGGGTGCGTGCGCTCGCCAGACAGAGAGAGACAGAGAGACAGAAAGCGAGAAATCATCCCCCAGGGGGGATGGGCATGCTGCAATCCCTTCTCCTTCATTCTCCTCTTGGGATCTTGGGCACGCACGCACATGCGCCTGGCGTGAGTTTTTTAAGCCACTGGGTCCGGGACGCGAACCGCGGTCGACTACGTGGGAGTCCAGCGACGTAGCCATTACGCTAACTGCTGCTTTCCGTGATCTCATTTTTCAGGCCATTCTCACCCTGGCCTTAGGGATAGCCTCAGCAGGACTGGTGGCATCTCCTTCCACTGCCCCTTGGCCATCAGAGGATGTTACCTACTGCTAGCTCTGTCCTTCCTTCCTTTGGCTGAGGCTTGTTACAGCACATACTCTACGTCCCTTTGGCTCCCAACACCCTCCAAGGGTTTTTCCATGGTAAGTGGGGAGAAGATCCATGTTTCTGAGTACCCACCATGTGCCAAGTTCTAGACTGAACAATAGGAGGTGACTCCTGCTTCATATTTTTGGACTCTGAGGCTCAAAGAGATAAAGTAGCTTCTACGCGAGGGCTCCCCATGGCCTCCAGTCTTTCTGCCATACCGAGCTCTTTAGAAGCCTCCTCTAGTGCAGATGGTGGCACTGTGGGACACGAACAGAACTTTCCTCAGTGCAAAGCTAGCAGGACAGGGATCAAGTCTCCCCACAGAAGTATTCAATGAAGATGGGGGGAAATGAACGCCAAGAACTTCAGCCCCAGATTGGGGTGTCTGCAGGCGCTAAGAAAAGCAGTAGAAAAAAACACCCCGATGTAGCTTGATTTAGTGAAGCAAGTCACATCACCCTTTACATTTGCACTGCACGTTTCAGTGTACATCGCGTTTTCACTTCCCGTATCTCATTGGGCCCTTGAGTTGGCGATGTGAGCAGAGGGCTCGAGCATGGAAGAAGGGCCTTGGAGGGCTGGGTCGGGGGCAGAGGCAGGCATTGCCATGTGTTGATGGGAACGTCGCTTACACTGATCTCCGAACAATCTGGAAGTCTATAGCCATCTACAGACTAGACAGGCTAAGTCATTTCCCCGTTGAGGATTATTCCCCAGGGACACAGTCCCACTAAAAAAGGGGTAATTAGTACCAAGGTGTGTCCCGCAGTTGTGGGGAGCCAGGGGTGCTTCCCCCATTTTCTTTTTAATTTGCTAGAGGATGCATGTGTGCTTGGTTGGGAGAGACAGAAGGAGAAGGAAAATGAGAAACACCCTCCATGGAGGATGGTCATGCCATAACCCTTTCTCTTCCATCTCTCTTCTCTTCCATCACATGCACCTGGCATGTCCCTCAAGCTGCCAGGTCCAGTACTCAAACTGTGCAGTGGGCCGTGTGGGATCTAGCCACCTTAACCACCACCCCACCAGCCAGTCTGATTTACCTTTTTTTTTTTAAATTTATGTATTTCTTCCATCAGCAAGAGTGAGAGAGAGAGAGAGACAGAGACAGAGAGAGCGCCCCTAACAGGGTCTTCATGCTGTGGTTCACCCCAGCCTCAGCCAGCCCTGGATCACAGATGTGTCTGTGCCCAGTGTACTCAGCGAGGTCCCTGGACTTGAACCGGGAACCTTCCCATATGGGATTGCCTTGCAGAGTATCATGCTTTTCCACTTTCCTACCCTCTGAACCCTGGCGTGCTTTCCTGTTGGGTACCATCTCTCTCGTTTGTTTTTGGTTTTGTCTTTACCATAGGGCATATGCCCTTGCCAGAGAGAGAGAGAGAGAGAGAGATCACCCACCAGGGGAAATGGCCAACCCAGACCCTTCTCCTCCATTCTCTTCTCAGGACTTCAGGCATGCACACACATGCACCTAGCGTGATGTTCAAGCTGCTGAGTCTGGGACTTGAACTGTGGTGGGTCATGTGGGAATCTAGCACCTTAACCACCATGCCACCTACTGGTCCCCTGCTGGCTCTTTTTACCGCCACCTGCTGGTCTCTTGTTTGCTCTTTTTGCCCTGTCCTGTGTTTATTTGTGGGTATCTTATTCCCTTATTGGACTACACGCTCTTTGAGGCTGGACCTTTTAATGAAAGGAACAAAAGTCACAATCCTTTCTCTCCTGGAGCCTACAGTCTGCCTGGGAGGAAGATGACAGCAAACAATGAAATATGTAATGGTCAGCTACAGACAGAGCTTTTAAATGGAGAAAACTCCCATGAAGGAAATGGCTGAGAGAATAAACTGTAAGTGGAGGGGTGAGACAGCCTTGGGTCCAGGAATCCACGCAGAGTGGCCTGAGTGGATGGGAAGACAATCCCAAGGAATGTCCAATAGCAGGGGATGGCTAGGCAGAGCCCTTTTATTCTCCTCCTAGTGGAGGGAATTTCATGCCACAGAGCCAGGAAGTGGAACGTATGGCGATATGTACCTGAACAGACAGTCAATGAGAAAGTAGACGAGCCAGTAGCATGTGCTGATTCCCGGCTCATCCCGACGTTCTGTGCGGGCTCACCATGTGCGGAATCCGACCCCAGCGGATTCCCGCCTTCCCCTCTGCCCTGCCACGTGGGGGAAGTGGCGGTAGGTCCGAAGGAAAGGCACCATTTTGTTACCATTTGAACATCGCATTCGGGTAAGTCTCAGTGTGCTTTAACCAACTACGCTCTGAACTTGGGATGTAATGCTTGTTCACGTTTGCTGTCTGCTGTCACCTAAGTTTCCAAGAGCAGGTTTTCGGGTTGGAGAGGACAGCTGGGCGCCCCAAGCAGAAGGTTTGTTGTTTGCAACCTCGTCAACAGCCGCGCCAAGTGCAGCTTGGAGACATGGCCCACACTCAGGAATGTCACAGAGGCAGGCTCTGAACCCAGCTCTAAAGAGAGCAGATAGAATCCAGGGACCCCAACGTCCATTCCAAGGTGGCCTTTGAGGGCCCTGCCCAGAAAGTCCACCAGGCCAGACACCTGCTAAGAGACTAACTTGCCATTGCCGCCCAAACAGTGGTGACTTTTTGTGACTTGTTTTGTTTTTCTTTCACCTCTGATTCTGCTGGAAAAACACCCAAAGCCTTGGGTCAGATCACCCCAACCTTGGCAGCACCTGCAGCAACGGGGCCGGAAGTCAAGCTAGAATGAAGGAGGAACCAGCCTGTGCTTAAACCAGGGTCCCCAGGGACCTGGCTGGATTCCCCCAGTGGGCAGTGAGGCATGTGCCCACCCAGAGGCCTCGGAGCTACCTTCTGTGGAGGGGAGGGCAGGAGGACAGCAGAGGCCGCTCCTAGGAACGGGGCCCAGTGGCATGCTCTTCCTGTGCTTAGAGTTGCCACTGAAACCCTGTTAAGAGCCAGTGGGATTTTGGGGGGTTCAAACTTGTGAATGATGGAAAAAATAAACCTCTTAAAACATGAACCTTGGGGCCAGCAGGTGGCGTGCTGGTTAAGGGTGTTGGATTTCCACATGGCCAATGGTGGTTCCAGTCCTGAACCTGGTGGCTTGCTTTCTTGTTTTCCCTTTCTCTCTCTCTCTGTCTCTGTCTGGTCAAATGAAAACATAATAACAGATGGAATTAAATATATAAATAATTCTTAAAAAAAAAACAAAAACAAACAAACAAAAACATGAACCTTTGAAGACAGGCGAAGTTGTCCCAGGGATCTCCCCGCCCCCCCGTCCTTCCACTTTGCCTTTACTTTGGCGTCTCAGTGCTGCGGTTTTCTAGGGAAGCAGCTGTGGTGACGTGGGAGGAGCACTGGGTTTGGGGACTCAGAGGCTGTGAGTGACTTTGGCCAGTGATGGCCATTTCCCTGGCTCTTGATTCCCTTGTGTGTAAAAAAGGAGATATTACCCCCCCTTCCAGGGTTACATGGGGGTTGAGCAAAATAACGTAAAGGAATACGAGAGGCTCAAAACATCTAATTGACTTTTTTTTTTTTCTTTAATTTGCCAAAGGGTGTTGCACTCATCAGAGAGCGAGGAAAAGCGAGAAAGCACTGGGACCAGTAGATGGCATAGTGGTTGTGTCACTGGACTCCCATGTAGTCAACTGCTGTTCAAGTCCCGGACCCAGTAGCTTAAAACTCACACCAGGTGCATGTCCGTGCCCAAACTCCTGAGAGGAGAAAGGAGGGGAAGGGATTACGGCATGGCTATCCCCCCCTTGGGGGGTGATTTCTCACTTTCTGTCTCTCTGTCTCTGTCTCTCTGTCAAGCACAAGTGCCCTAAAAAAAAAAAAAGATGATAAGAAAGCACTGCCCACGGGTACTCTTCAAGCTGCAATTCCTTTTGCCCGATTTCTCTCTCCGTTCAGGATTTTGGGCATGCACACACACATGCCTGGTGTGTTTTTCAAACCATTAGACCTGGGATTCAAACCATGCATTCAGCCAAGTGGGATCCACTGACTGGCCCAAACTGGCATTTGAAAGGAGCTCAGTATGTACTCAGTGGGCCCAAGGGGAGCTTCCGGTTGGTGTTCTGAACCCTGACTCTGGGGCTGTACAGATCTGTACGAGTGCTGAAAGCCATAGAACTGTACACCCGAGGAAAACGAGCTCGGCTTTAGTGCATGATCATTTTAAAAAAAACAAGATCTGGTGGAACCAGCAGGTGGCATAGTGCTTAAGGTGCTGGACTCCCACATGGCAGACTGCAGTTCAAGTCCCAGACTAGGCTGCTTGAAACTCATGCTAGCGCATGTCCATGTGTGCCCAAAATCCCAAGAGGAGAATGGAAGAGAAGGGATTGCGATGTGACCACCCCCTCGGGAAGGTGATTTCTCACTTTCTGTCTCTCTGTTTGTCTCTATCTCTCTGGCAAGTACATTTGCCCTATAGTAAAAAATCCTTAAATGATTTAAAAAAAACATAAAACAAAAAAGCATCTGGTTCAACTCCTTCCCTGAGTTAGGTCTTATGACCCCCATTTTACAGATAAAGCAACTGAGACCGAATACATGCCTCATCCCCACTCAGCTTTACTACCATTCCCAAGTCAGTTCTGGGGCACAGGGACCCGTTAGGAGGCACGGGGACACCCGCCATATAAGCCCCTGACACAGCAGGACAAACAACTGGGGGCTTCCATGTCATCACTCATGAAGACACATGCCTCCGGTAGAAGGGGAAGCCTTGATGCTCCAGTGACCTCTTGTCAACAAGCCTGTCAGAGTGATAGGGAAATGCAGTGATTTAAAGGTATTTAAATCATCTTTCAGTAAAGTCAAGGCCTCCCCTGGCCCAGGGCTGCCCCAAGCAGGGGGTGACCCTGCTTGGAGAAGTGAAGACTCTCCCTACCATCTACCCTTGCCTGGCTGCCCAGGTCCCTTGTGGAGGTAGGGGGACAGAATTAGCGCCACTATGCAAAGTAGCAGGAAAGGGAGGGGCCAGCTCAGTGGAAGCAGATGCCAAAACAAGCCCGTTCCCTCTGGCAGCCTAGAGACCAGGGAGGGAACAGGCCTTGCCCAGCCTGGCCCAGAGCTGCCTGCTGAGGGCCGGAGATCTACCCGGACCCCAGGCCTGCCTGACCTCCCGCCTGCCCCACCTGGAACTCCAGGGGCTTCTAGTCAAAGTGGGCTCTTCTCTAACTGGTTCCCACAGGCTGGCCTTGGTTTGCCAGCCGAACTGGAAGCTCCCTGAGGGTAGGGATTCCCCTACCTGAGTCCAGAGCATGAAGGGGGTCTCCCGAGGCCAGCAGGAAGAAGAGCACAGCCTGGCTGGGAGGGAG